TTGCCCTCGCGCTGCGTCGCCCTCGCGCTGCGTCGCCCTCGCGCTGCGTCGCCCTCGCGCTGCGTCGCCCTCGCGCTGCGTCGCCCTCGCGCTACTTTTTTTCTCCTTTAACAGCCCTTGTAGATGGTTATAGTGGCATATAGGATCAACAGATGTCTATACTCCCTGGGAGAGAGGAAATGAGATCGCAGTAAGCAAGAAAGCAATGGAAAACTGACATTTCTTTTAATAATGTTTTTTGACTGGCAAAAGAACAGATAAGCCTGTTTTGGTCAAAGGGCATCCAGGTTCCTCCCTAGTTGCAAGAATGGTGAAATTCTGTCTCCCATACTTTGGGCACGTTGTCAGGATAGGCCAGTGCTTGGAACAAACATTATACTGGGAAAGGTAGAGAGTCAGAAAAAGAGAGGAAGACCTTTAGCAAAAATGGATTGACCTAGTCACTGTGACGTAGCAGAGATTGTAAGGATGGCATAGGATAAGGCAGCATTCATTGTTCATAGCACTGATGTGAGGCTTAGTTGACTTGATGGCACCCAACATCAACAATATTTAAAAAGAAGAAGTCTTCTTTTCGACTAGAAGGCCAACTGAAACGGACCTGAGAGACCTTCTTGTCAGTCTAGGGTGCTTTATTTTTTACGTCTAGAATGATGATTTTATGGAAGACCTCACTGAGGTGAGATTCTTCATTAATAGTTTAATTCTTTAATTCTTCATTAAATAGGTTTGCCTCTGCAGCCTGCAATGTATAAATGAATGTCATTCTTTTTCTGGTAACATACTAAGAAGACTTTTTGACCTTGTATCAGAGATGTCCTTTCCAGTTACTAGGAATAAAAACTTGAACTGTTTTATATTTGAACTGAATTATTGCTAGGCACACTGTATGTCACCGACTTTACTATTTTCCCCATTTTGTTTTCTAATTGATGTTATGTGCTGAGTCAAAGTATTTTCCCCTAAGGCAGCTCTGACCAAGAAGGCCAGCTCTCAGTTAATGCAGGCATCCCATGGCCCAGGAATACACCCTACATGAACGTTCAGGCCCTTTTGTTATTCCTGTGACAACTTTTATCTCTGCTAGGAGGTTTCAGGTGCCATGTTTGCTGTATGCTCTTACCTCATTGCCATCAAGTTGGAACCAACTCATAGTCAACCCTCCAGTGTGCTTTCCTTAGTAAATAGCATGGGAGGAGGCTGCCCATCTTGTTTCCATGGTGCTGTAGGTGGATTCAAACCATCAGTGCAGTTTCTACAGACTGTACCACCAGAGCTGCTCCTGACGTGTTTGTTGTTGTTATGCACCTTCAAGTTAGAACTGATCCATAGCTGACCCTCTAGTGGATTACGAGGGAGGAGATTACCCATCTTTTGTTGGTGGAGCAGCTGGTGGATCTGAACCATGTGCCTGTAGATTAGTAGCACAGCTTCTTATCACAAGGCCCTAAGATTTTCTATTTGCCAGCACATATAATGTAGCTGTTATTTTCCCACTCTAACTAACGCCTATCTCCAAGATTGATTTTTATAGTGGCAGAACTGTGTTTCTCTAGTAATAAGGTCTTTAGCTTGGGGACCTGGTACCCAGCTAAAGCTCGGGCCTTTTCTCATAGATGAAAAGAACAGTGAAGGTTGAGAACTATTACCATCTTGCTTATAGTACCTTTTGTAATCAGTCAGTCAGGACCCCACCCCCAGTGTTTTGACTGGAGTTCTAATGTGCAACTTATGGACAGACACATAGAAACCAGGTTGTACAGAGGGGAGAGCACTAAGATTCTTGTGAGACCAAACTTTTTTCAAATCTTGATTCTGTTACTCAAGAATCACTGGGCCATAAATTGAGTTTTTGAGACTCAGTTTCCTATATTATAAAAGCCTGAGTAAATGTGGTGGTGCAGTGATTAAAGTGCTCTGCTGTTAGTGCAAAGGTTGGCAGTTTGCTCCACAGGAGAAAGATGTGGCATTCTATTTCTGTAAAGTTACAGCCTTGGTAATGGCGCAGTTCTACTTTGTCCTGTAGGCTCACTAGGAGTTATAATAGCCTTGATGACGATGGACTTACAATAGTCCTGGTGGCAGTGGATTTGATAATGTTACCACAAAGCCACTGTTCTACCACCTGCCAATGGAAAAACCAATCTTGGAGATAGACGTTGGAGCAGAAAATGTGTATTTATTATATAGTGTTATATAAGAGGCAGGCGGGGAGTGGGCTTCCCAAATCTTGTCTCAGGGAAAGGGAACTTTTAGGAAGTATTTGGAGGTTTGGCTAAGCACATAGAGAGGGGTTCCATTTTCTTAGCCCTTCTAGGAGGAAAAAGTAGGGTTATTTTTGAAAAGGAGATTTATGTAAATCATAGGCACACCCTTGATGGAGTTTATCTGGTTAGGTTCTTAGTTGTCAGAGGATGTGTGCTGTAGGCCTTCTCTTCATGGTTGTTTTCTTGAAGGTCATGTAGTGGTCACTCCTTCTGCTTCTACACATACATGGTACCTGAAAGCTCTTTTGGATAACTTAGAACAGGAATTGTTAGTAAAGTTAAAGGTCATTAAGAATGAATACCTAGGGCTTCACTGGGGCAGTTTCTGCATATCAGGGGGAGATAGATGCTGCTGTCTTTGGCCTTGGCCCTCACAGCTCTAAAAAGAAACAGGATCTTGATAAGCTCTATGAGCTGAAGTCCAAAGCACGGCAGATTATGAACCAGTTTGGCCCCTCAGCCCTAATCAACCTCTCCAATTTCTCATCCGTAAAACCAGAACCGGCCAGCACCGCTTCACAAGGCTCCATGGCCAATAGCACTACTGTGGTAAAGATACCAGGCACTTCTGGCAAAGGAGGTTGACTCAGCCTTGAAAACAACCAGGTATTAATGAAGAAAAAATTTCAAGACTTGGTAGGAGAAGTGGAGCAGATTCAGAAAAAAATGTGGGGCCAGAGATTGGGCTAGTTGATCAGTGGAGAGTAGGAAGAAAGGAAAGTATGTTACTTGCAATAGATCTGATGCTGCTGCAGATTGCTGATGATTTCATTGAGAATGTGGTGATAGCAGCCTGCCAGCTTGCCAGGCATCACAAGTCCATCACCATAGAGGTGAAAGATGTCCAAGTTGTACCTAGAACGCCAGTGGAACATGTGGATCCCAGGTTTTGACTCCGAAGAAATCTGCCCTGCAAAAAAGCTTGTACCACAGGAGCTCACAAACAGAGAATGGCATTGATCCAGAAAACAACCAAGAAATAACATAGGAAAGTTAGGAAATGGACAACAATGCATTTGGAGATACTTGAGCTGAGGCCTCAGCCATTCCATCCGTGGAGTTTTTATTTAATGCTTTACAGAGAAGCATATATGTTTATTAACAGTGCAACAATATCTATATTGACTGAGAGGATCTGCCAGAAGAATAAAGCTTCTTACCCTGCCCCCGGGGAAAAAAAAAAGAAGAAGAAGAATGGACACCTAGGTCTGTTGGATTCCGGGCTTCTTATGTAGAGTGTGTTCCTGGGCCTTGAAATACCTTGTAGCTGCCTTTCTTGATCTTGATTGTCTTAGGGGAAAAAGATTTTGCTGGAAAAGAAAGGTTGTTTTATCTAGCATTTCATATTGTATTGTTAACTATAAATTTGCTTTTTTTAGCCATTGCAGTCAACCCCCTCTGGTCTCCAGCTACCTTACCTGTAGACACATGGATTTGCAAATCACCAACAGCTATGGGAGGATAAGAGAAATAGTACTTCCTACACTGAGCAGCAAGACTTGAGGGAAGCAAGACTTGTGACAGCAAGACTTGAATGAGACTAGAGCAAGACCTTGGTGGTGAGACCCTGGTGATGATGGTGGAGAGACTGTGGCATTGGTGTGGAGAAACTGAGGTGTGATGTGAGGCTTCTTGCATTTGTAACGGTCACAGTGAAAATATTTTGCTGTTCTTGCAGGATGCTTAGAGGAGAAGCTGACTTATGTCTGCTCTGAGGCAAACCTTGCTGGATAATTTGGATTTGACTGCTGAACTGAAACCAGAGCCTGGACTAATTGAGGAATTGTGCCTTATAACTTAGGTTAAAACCTGTATTCCTATTGGGTAATATTCTTTGCCTCCCCCATTTTCCAGCTTCCTTCCCTAATAAGCCTTATTCTCAGTAGCATAACTGTGAGTCAGCAACAAATATACAAACTTCTTGCTCTAGAGGCGCCATGGGGCTGGGCTTTGGGCTATTTTTCTCATTTCTGCACTGGGGTGGTGAGTGACTGTATTATTCTCACTTGCTTCGGTCCTTTCAGAGAGATTTTCACAGCCTTATATACTGTTTTCTTCACTTTAGACATGTATAAATGAGAGAACAGGAAAATTAGTGATCAGAGCACAATTAGCAATATCCAGTTGCTATTCAGTGCTAAAAACTATCCACTTTGATGAAAGGTTAAAGGTCTTATTGACTACCTTACTCAAAAGGGAGTAAATCTCAGATATGGATTGAAGGGTAGAGAGGCAAACATCAGCAGAGGGCTTCAGCTTTGTGAGAAAGTTGCTTTCCTTTGACCTTGTAGAGTAGGAGGACTAAGGACTTCAGCCTTTAAGGAGGTCTCACTCAGTTGTCCCAAGGCTTTGTGGTAAGGAGCTACTTTGCTATCATCCCAAAGCTCAAATCTCCCAGCTGCTCTGTGGGAAAAAGATAAGCAGTCTCCTTTCATGTGATTTACAGCCCCTGAAGATCTACTGGAGGGTAAGCTATTAGGTGGTTTCAACTCTGTGGTACATAACAACAGCGTAGATTAGGAAGACATATCTTCATTTAAAAATACCATTTTACTTTTCCCCTGTCGCCGCTGCCTAGTTGTCCCGGAGGCCCGGGTGCATTCAAGATTCCGCCCCACCCGTAACCCACCGCCATGGCCGAGGACGGCATTGCTGCTGGAGGTGTAATGGACGTTAATACCGCTTTACAAGAGGTGCTAAAGACAGCCCTCATCCACGATGGCCTAGCACGTGGAATCCGCGAAGCTGCCAAAGCCTTAGACAAGCGCCAAGCCCATCTATGTGTCCTTGCATCCAACTGTAATGAGCCTATGTATGTAAAGTTAGTAGAGGCCCTTTGTACTGAACACCAAATCAACCTGATAAAGGTTGATGATAATAAGAAACTGGGGGAGTGGGTTGTTGTTGTTGTTGTTATGTGCCGTCGAGTCGTTTTCGACTCATAGCGACCCTATGCACAACAGCCCTAAACCCTGCTCTATCCTGCACCAACCGCACTGCCTCCGACACACCCATCCCAATTACCCCA